GGGGGGGTGGGGCCGGCTTCGTTTTGGGGAAGGGGGCGGTCGACCCGGCCAGCACTCAAGGACTGTGCAGCTGGGGCCAGCTGCCTGCGTGACTTGGATTCGCCGAGCCGTGATGCGTCCGCCTTTCACACAACTCCTCCAATCGTCTGCCCCCTGGCGCCCCCCCTCCTCCGCCGGATAGGCCCAGAGGGTGCCCCTGCCGGCCAGCAGCAGCAGCCAGGCGGCCCCGCAGCAGCGGCGCCGGTGGCGGCGGCCCCGGCCGCGCTGCGCTACAGCGTCCAGCACCTGGACCACGCGCAGGCGCTGCGGCTGGCGGCGGTGCCGCGGGAGGACGGGTCCAAGCCCCACATGGCGGACGTTTTGCTGCAGTGAGCCCCAAAAGCACTGTCTCCAAGATCGCGGGCCGTTGTTTGGCGCATGCAGATTGCGTCTGTGCGGCGAGGCACGATATGCCTTGGGCAGCCGCTGGCTGCCTGGATGCCTGTTTGCACCGCAGCGCTCGGCACCCGCCGGTCTACCAGCGGTCCTCCAAACGCTCTCTCTCACTTGCCTGGCAATCCAGCATCTCCGTCGACCCCTGCGTTTGCCCGCACCCCCACGGCCCCTCTTTGGACGGCGCCCCAGGCACAGCCAGCAGGACAACGGGTGGCTAACCTGCCTGTCCCTCTCTGCCGGCTTCCAGTCAGCCGCGGCCGCGCCCTCCGAGCTGCGGTTTGGCTGCGCGCTGTTCGTCCACCTGCCCGTCGGCCTCCCGCTGGCGGGCGCGGCGCTGCAGCTGCGGGACGAGCTCGGGCTGTTCTCGGTCGCGGGGCTGGCTGGGGAGCCGCCGCCGCCGCTGGCGCAGGGGCAGCAAGGGCAGCAGGGGCAGGGGCAGCAGCAGCAGGGGCAGGGGCTAGCGGAGGCCATAGGAGGGTTGCGGCTAAACGAGCAGTTCGGGCCGCCGCCCTCAGGGGTGGCCAATACGCCTGGCGAGCAGGAGCAGCAGCAGCAGCAGCAGCAGCAGCAGCAGCAGCAGCAGCAGCAACCGTCCACGAAGCCGCTGGCAGGTGCCACGCTCGAGCCTGGCGCATGGCGGCACTTCCACTTCGCCTTCACGCCGCGGTGTGTGGGACCGGTAGCCGCCGAGCAGCTGCAGCTCAACCTGAGCCAGCTGGCCTCGGTCAGCTTCCATCTCGGCAGCTTCCCGCCCCGCCAGCTCAGCCTAGGCGGCGCCGCGTGGCCCGGCGGCGTGCCGCCGTTCCGCGTCGCGACGGCCGTACGGCTGGGGGTGTATGGGGTGCAGATTGGGCATGTTGGGCCCCTGCCCATCCTGCAGGTGCGGGGGGTGACATCCTCCAGCAGGCCTGTGCTGAAATCCTTGGGCGAGACCGAGCCGTCCTGAGCGCAGCACGCGGCGCCTGTGAGATGAAGGATGCACTGCAGCTTGCCGCCGCGATGACCAGGCCCTCTGGTGTCCCTATGTTTTTGAGGATCCCCAAGCCGTGCCAAGATCCTGTGTCGTCCCATGCTGCCTCACCACCCCCCCACAAACACACGCACACACTCGTTTGGACTCCCGCAGGCCTCGGCACCGCATTCTGTCCAGCTGGTGGGGGAGCTCGCTCCCGTGGACATATCGTTCACGGTGTCGCACGCGCTGGGGCCGTCCACCCTTGAACTCTCCGCCCGTGCCGTGGACGCGACTGGCGCGCCCGCAGCCGCACCGCCGGCGGCGGCCGCCGCCGCGGTCGCCAATGGCATCGCGGACGCAGCCGGCGACGGCGGCGATGGGGCGCCGGGGGCGGCGCCGCTGCTGCAGCTGCTGACCTGGCAGGACGGGAAGCTACAGGAGCTGCCGCTGGACGGCGCGGCCCTCAGCCTGCCGGCAGTCCCCGCCGGCGGCCGCCACTCGCTGCGGGTGTGGCTGCGCGCGTCCGCGGCGGCCGGCGCGCGGCTCGCGGCGACGCTGCTCTGCCCCGCGCCCGTACAGGCTTCGCTCGCGCTGCAGTTCCTCGAGCCGTTTGAATCCGTGACGCGCCTGTTCTCGGAAACCAACGTGCACTCCCTCGTTGGCCCCAGCCCAGCATACGAGGCGGGAGCCGCTCCGCTTGGCGCCGCCGCCGCCGCTGCGGGCGCAGGCGCGGCCGTGCCGCTCGTGATCGGCCAGGCCGTGATGGCGCAGGTGCTGGTGCGCGCGGCGCAGGCGGCGCCGCTAGAGTTGCTGGATGTCAGTCTCGAGACGGCCCCCGGCTCGGGGCTGCAGCTCGTGAACCAGCTATCAGATCAGCTGCCGCTGCGGCCGGCGCCGACGGGGCTGGGCAGCGGCCACGCGTTCCTGCTGCACGTGCTGTCCACGCGGCTGCTGCCGCCGCCGGGCACGCCGATGGGGCGGCTCGTGCTGCGCTGGCGCCGCGGGGTGGCAGGGGGCGGGGCGGCGCCGGGGCGGAGCGGCGGCGGCGGCGGC